GTGGACTTCAATCATTAGCAGTGGCAACACAGGTTTGCAACTCTTTACGTTGTTAACATCATTAAGTAAATTGAGCTAATGATGTTTCTGTCTTCTTTCTCTTCTTTTTTTACTTTTTTATATATATTTTTTTAACTTCTTTATTTTTGCAGGAAATACCTGAGAAGACAAAAGATAGTTCAGGGGAACCATGGCAGCTTATTGGTTTGTTGCCTCTATTTGATCCTCCAAGGCATGACAGTGCTGAAACCATTAGAATGGCTCAAAGCCTTGGCGTGGACGTTAAGATGATTACTGGTGGGACTAAATACTTAGTTTTAGTTCAAAAAGTTTATTTATTTATTCTAAATTGATTATTACCTCACTCCTTACGTTATGCACACCTTGTTTTATTATTTAGATGATCAGCTTGCCATCGCCAAAGAAACTGGGAGGAGACTTGGAATGGGAACGAACAGGTACCCTTCTTCCTCCTTGCCTTTTCTTCTTTTTTTGGGAAGGCCTTCCTCCTCGCTTTTTGAAGATAAGGATGCTTCAATTGCTGCTGCTTTCCCTATAAATGAGTTCATTGAGACCGCAGATGGATTTGCTGGAGTATTACCAGGTGGTTTAATATATTTGTAAATTTCTACAAAATCATATACCTTTTTTTCTCATTCTAATTAAAGAAACCACAGATACTTAATAATATCAAGTTTCCATAAAAAATTAATGATATTGCTTGATTTTGGTAAAACTCACTGTTGCCTTCTGGCATAACAGTTCTTGATTTTTGTCACTTGTAGGCATTTTAAAATTTTTTGACCATTGGCCATCCACCTTTCAAGTCACTACCCTGATTCCTCTTTCTAACAATTTCTTTCTGCCTATGCTAGAACACAAATATGAAATTGTTAAGAGGCTGCAAGAGAGGAAACATATCTGTGGTATGACTGGAGATGGTGATGCACCTGCTTTGAAGAAGGCTGATATTGGAATTGCTGTTGCCAATGCTTCAGATGCTGCTAGAAGCGCATCAGATATTGTCCTTACTGAACCAGGGCTTAGTGTCATTATAAGTGCGGTGCTAACTAGCAGGGCTATTTACCAAAGGATGAAGAACTACACAGTTAGTTATATTTTAGTTTACCTTTGTTGGCATTCTCTTGTCTATTGTTTCATGGAGCGAATTGATATATGTAGTTACCACATATTCCTTTTAAATTTGCAGATCTATGCTGTTGCTGCTACCATCCATATTGTGGTTAGTATATCTGAAATTGTCTTTGACAACTTTATGCCACTGCTAAAGGGGTTCTGTTTTTACTGAAAAATATGGATCTTAATACAGTTGTTTGTTTCTATATTGGCAGTTTAGTTTCCTTATTATTGCCTTGGTGTGGAAGTTTGACTTTGCTCCTTTTATGGTCTTAATTATTGCCATCCTAAATGACGGTGAGACATTCTTTATTAAATCTCAGTGTTAATAATATGCTCCGTCCGTTTCTAGTCTCATTTGGTACAAGCCAGGTTTGACTGGCTCTGAATAGTCATGAATCTAATGTCCTGCATCACTATATCTGTAGGGACAGTCATGACAATATCAAGAGACAGAGTGAAGCCATCTTCACAGCCTGACAGCTGGAAGCTGAAAGAGATTTTCACTACTGGCATTGTGCTCGGAGGATACTTGGCCCACATGACTCTAGTATTTTTCTGGGCTATAAGAAACACCAAGTTCTTCTCAGTAAGTATACTTTTGCAATCTTCTCTTCATATTTTGGTGACATTTGTCATGGTTTTCCTTTGCTTTTCCAATATTACAGGACATGTTTTCTGTAATTCTCCCTGATAGTGTACATATTAATATTGTATGTGAGGGTAGTCTAGTCTTTACACAAATACATGT